CCTCGCAGTAACCATGCTGGTCATAACTGCTGGAGTTGATCTGGTGGAAGTGGAGTGTGTGTTGTGGAAGATGGCATCTTCCCAGCCAACCCCATCAAGGAGAATGGGGGGGGGGGGAAGATACACAGCAAGAGTCAACTGCACAGTGAAACTTAAGTTTTAAAGGATAAGAACAAGGACCCGGATTCATAAAGCAGTTATGCAAGCACTTACGAACCTGTACATCTTTTCTCAATCTTTGGCGGCTTTATTTACAATTATTATACAGTGTATGAGCTCTGAAGCATCAGGAGGCTGTTTATAACAATAACAACATTTGATTGGGAGGTTTTCATGCTTGTAAACTGTTTAATAAATAAATAACAAATGTAACCAAAGCCATCAAAGATTTAGGAAAGATGTACACATTTGTAAGTACTTGAGTAATGCTTTTATGCATCTGGGTCAAAGCATTTAGCAAAAGCTGGTCTCAACCTTGCCCAACTATCACAAGGAAGTCGAGAACATGATATGGCTGGAATCTGAGGCAATGATGTGGTTGGTGCCATCTGGTGGCAGTTAGGGGAAGCAGCCGGTTGGATATCTTGCAGTTTGGTGAGAGTACTACTGCACTTGGTTATCCATGTGATGCAAAGTTAGACTTAGAAAGGGTTTAACCCCTGCACTGCTCACACATTTTCGGCAAAAAAGTCTTGGTGCAATTGTCAAGGACATATTTTTGTTGTTTTCATAAATGCTCAGGTAAAGGTAACGTCAAAATGTTTCCAAAGTCAACTATTTCCCTTTCAGAACACAAAGAGTAATGAAAACATTGAAAAACATAAAAATATAGTCTAATTAAAAAACAAAACTCACAACTCTTAGAGCGCCTAAAGGCGCTTTGCGCAGTGCAGTGGTTAAGTGCTGAGTGAATTATTAACTTTCTGGAGTCACCCTGGGCTGAACTGAGTTATTCACAAGTACTGTACCTCCCTAGCACCAGTATGACTTTAAAGAAAAACATTATATGAAAGATGCATTTTGCACCAATGCAGAATGTCACACTACCATGGTCATTATAGTCTTGTCCATTGTGATCTACAGATGCCTTTTGCAATATCAGAGGAATTTTTCATTTAATATTTTAGTTTTCTGGTATCCAAAAGATAATTATTCTTTTAGTGTTCTAGTTACAGTTCTACTGTACCAAAACACTTTTTCCCTACAAAACTTTCAGCTACAATCACTCTTAAATGTTGAACTAAATATTTTGCAATCATATTAAAAATATCTTCCTTTTAAATGTTGGTTTGAGGGTTTATTGCTTTGCAAAATGTTGACATGTTTTACAAATTTAAAAAAAAAAAACAGCAAATTTTTAAGTAGATTCTTTGAACCATACACAGTGGAAGCCATTTTCAGACCTTTGATTACGTACACGCTGTTATATATAGGTATAATACATGTACTGTTCTATAACTAGGTATGATGCCTTGTTCTAATTTGGTTACCCTAACAACCAAAATGTTAGGGAAATTATCTATCTTGTCACTAAACCAATATCCACTTGTCCAAAAACAACTAACTTTCCATTTTGCAGTCTACTATGATGAAGCATCATCAAATTTGATTCATGTGATAATGTCATTTTTTCTGGGAAAATTATGTAATTTCATTTATTTTTTGAGATAGTTTCCCTCTGTATCTCCCTGAGCTTTCCACCTGGAGTCCTTCAAATCCAGGTAGCACACCAGGCTCAACAAATCACAAGTACTAATTAGAGACCAGGATTAGAATCTGGACCCTTAGATAGAGGCATAAGGGAATGGGGGATACAAGATCACATTACTGAAGAAAAAAACACAGAAAAGGTAGAAAGCACCAAAACGAGCAACTGCTCGAACAGTATTTTTCATCTCTGAATGTTCACGTAATTAAAATAATTTTTTAGGTACAACCACTAGACAGCTCCGCTCCAGATATTCTAGCCATTTTACACACCTGGTGTGCTATGGCACAGTCTTGGTTCTTTCTAAATTTATGGCCATGACTTTTTAGCTGTTTACCATCCCTTGGACTGTTGTGAAGGGACCTGCATTTGCATTTGTTCCTTTACTGCATTATTTGTTTGGTTTTCAAGTTAACCTATTGCATGTGCCTATATTACTTGTTAGCCTTGGCTGCCTGTGGCCAGAATTGCCTTCTCTGACTCTGGCATTACCACTGCCTTTAGTTAGGGTTACCTTCCCTGTAAGGGTTCAAGAGTCCACCTCTGGGACTCTTATTGGTTCTCTATAGGCTCCAGGGAGTAGGGAGTAGGGTAGGGAGCCGGTTGGTCGAGCGGACAGCACGCTGGATTTGTGATCCTGTGGTCCTGGGTTCGATTCCAGGCGCCGGCGAGAAACAATGGGCAGAGTTTCTTTCACCCTATGCCCCTGTTACCTAGCAGTAAAATAGGTACCTGGGTGTTAGTCACTGTCATGGGCTGCTTCCTGGGGGTGGAGGCCTGGTCGAGGACCGGGCCGCGGGGACACTAAAAAGCCCCGAAATCATCTCAAGATAACCTCAAGAGAAGATATCTCAAGATAACCTCCACACCAGGTAATGCAAGAGTTTTGGCTCCTTTACAGGGCCTTATAGTTTGGGTGAACTATAGTTTACTTGTTTCTGGGAATGACTGTGTGTGTTCCAGCCCTATGGTACTGGTGGCAACTTAGTTTCTCTGCAGGTCTGATGCAGGGAACATTTTCATGCTTTTCCTCCAGGTCTGCTGCTACTTTTATTTTTGTCGTTCTTTGGGGTGTTCCTTGGCTTCATTGTTTGCCACTAGTCACCTTTCCGTCTCTGCCAAGGCTCCTTGCTGGGTTGATGGGCATGTTCGTCTGCACTGTTTATTTTTGTGCCCACACCACCCCTCTCTTTTATGAGTTATTGTAGTGTGGGGGCTGGGCATGAAATTTGCAGGAGCCATCTATCCATTTTTGGCAGTGTGCCTAGTCTCTGTGCCCCTTTGCCAGTGCAGTCCCTGGGGCAGTTGAGTGCCATGGGGCCTTTTCCATTGGGAACTTTGCACTGTCTTCTGGCTGTTTAGGGTCATTGTTTATGTTAGGGACAGTGACTTAGTTGTCTTTGGTGCGTCTCTTCTTTTGGGGATCTTGTCTTTCTGATATCAGGCCATGGGAACTATGGCAGACCCCAAGACTAGGCTTTTGCATTTCTGGGGGAAACCCCTTCAAGATGTAAGATGATAACTGTACTCGTACTCTCAGGGTTAAAGTGTCTAGCCTTGGGGGGAAAAAAAAAAACGAGTTTTTGAGTGAATCAACTGTCAGTTACCTGATTGTTAGATCCTTGCTGACTTTGAGGTAATTGCAGAATGGAGCCTGTGATGTAACAGTGAGAGGAATAGCTGTCTCTGGATACAACTAGCACCATCATTTGGCAGTAGTGTTGACCAGCTGGTGAGCTAGCAAGTTAGCAGCAGCTGAGCATTACTTGACAGTTACCTTGATTTTCGAGATTAACTAGGTGTTTTTAATGTACCGAAATTATCTGATTAATCTCAATGGGACTGAAAATTCTCCAGTATTTACCTTCATCCAAATGGTTGTGGTGGGGCATAAAAAAATAAAATAAACTGAGCAAAATTTGATTTCACTGACTCGGGGCAGTTTTTGCATTTCACCTGAATTTGTTCTTTTCACCTGAAAAATTTCACCATTTCTAGTTACCTCGACAGGAATGGAAGACGATGGCTTGTCAAAACCCCATTATTTCTGAGTTTTTTTCTAGTTCTATTTTTAAATTAATCAATGTTTTGGTATTTCCAGCTTCAGTGGGTAGGCAGTTCCACAAGTTTATGAGACAATGGGTGCTAAAACATCTCCTTGGTGGGCTTGAAGCTGTTGACTTTTGTCACAGTTACATAGCCTTTAACCCTTGCATTGTGTAAAAGCTACATAGGCCATTATCTGTAAGTGCACAGAACAATTGTATTCAAAAGAAGCTTTTCTTCCTATATTATTAAAAACCAGTCCCTGAGCATAAGGAAACGTCCCAAATATCATGTCACATTTTAAGATGGCAGATATTTACTGGACTCAATATACCAGTTGGGAGCACTGTGTACTAGGATGAGTCAAAATATTGCAAAGTACCTATAACATCTCAGGATGAATGAATCATGGGTAAAAATCCATATGGTTTATGCTTTTCAAGGCTTAAATTAAGTCAAGTGGACCAGTGTCCTTCAAAGTATATGTCACAAGATGTTTTTTCACTGGGTTGCACAATAAAAGAAGTCAGTGTTTTAAAGTGTGTCCACTCTTAATTAACAAGAGTTTGTTGTTGCCTCCATTTGCGACAAGTTACATAAGAGAAGTTTAAGTTTCGACTCCAAACAAGGTTAAAAAACCAAGAGGAGGAACTGTCTTGACAGGCTTTCTATGACATTAATAACCTTGGGTTATGAAGTTTCCAAGCTTGTAAACTATGTAATAAATACTGAGAGTAAGCCACCATGATTGAGAAAGATTGAAGGTCTCAAGGGTGGATGCTTAAATGTTTGTTGAATACATACAGGCCCAGGGAGTGCAACCATACAATATCTGCAACCGATTTTGACATATACCACTACAATTATAGTATACAGTAATATTTGTGTAATTATCAGATGTACTGCAATTTAGAATTATCTCCTAGATTTTTAACCTTACCACATGTGCATTAACTAAATTCTGACTAGAAAGTTATGTTATTGGAACAAGTACTTTGCTAGCTTCCATTTCTTTTAACAATTATCACTCATTTGTGTCAATGTGGGACATCAGCAATTACCTAGAAAGTATAATTGTATCACTGAGGAAAGCCTTAAAGCCATATTTCATCAACAAACAAGTTGGTGAATAACGGTAGCTGGTTGTACAGTACTAGCATTTAAGTTTAGTGCAAAATATAGTTTATTAAAATAAGTTTTTTTCATTTAGAGAAAAGAAATTCTTGTATAATAAATTACTGTATGATAATAATAATAATAATAATAATAATGATGTACTGTATTAGTAATAATAATTAAGAACCAAAAATACCTCTATAGGAATATTAATTTCACTATAATTCTGAAATGCTCATTTAAAATTTGTGAAGTTATATCTAATCAATTCGATACAAATCTAATCCCCCATCCCACAAAAATACATTGCTTATAACCTACTCAATCATTAAATACCAGGTTTCAGGCCTATATTTGTGAACACAGTAACAAACATCAACGCACTCAGATGAATTTGCCAAGAGCCGAGTAGAAATCTTGTAAACAGGAGAGAAGGTGAGGGAAGCTAGCACGGTCCTCAGGAGTGGGTGCCCAGCAACGGGCCATCATGCCAAACCTACAAAAGAAATAGACCTACAGTTGAGGTATCATGAAAAAAAATTATTTATACTTTTAAATTAGAAATTTTAAAGAGGCAAATATTATTAGCAATTATACATAATGGTAATTATAGAATTAGTGTTAAATGTAATGAAATGCCAATTTCAGGGTGATCCCTGGTGGCTCCCTGAAGCTACTACCTCCGATGTAGGTGCCATCAGTCAGAGTTCTATGGCTTACCAGGGACCAAGAGCCAGAACCTGGCCGCTCATAGAGGTGCAGGGAGCCATGGCATTTATATATTAAGTTATTTATTTATGCCCACCACTGAGTAAGGTACCCAGAAAGTTAGTCAAAAACCACAGCTGGCTGCCTCCAATATCTGCAACTTCAAAAAACAAGCCTCCAGCTTCAAAAACCCTGCCTCCAATATCTGCAGCCTTTAAAAAATCCCACCCACCTTTTCTGGGTGGGACCCGCAGGTTCCCGGAGCTATCCAGGCTGATATGTCTATTAGATTTCTGGCATCAGTCAAAGTGCATAGAGTTCTTTCCTACCGGGGATCACGAGCCAGAACCTGGCCCTCTCAGAAAGGCATTAGGAGCAATGGCCTATAGAAACCCCTGTGTTGTTGGGAGCATTCCATGTCTGCCATCGACCGGGTCTGGCACCCCAAAAAGGTAGGCACCCCAAAACAAACCCTTATGCTAGTGAAAATATTGCTACCGAAAGCTGAATGAGTGGACAGAACTCCCCAAATGAAAATTAACAAACAAGCATGATGTCGTCACGTTGCCGCACTGCTATCTGTGCAACCCTCCCTCCCTTCCCGGGAAGGGGAAGTGGGGAGTCCCAGACCCTTGCGACGGAGATCCAACCAGCGGTATAGATGTCAAAGACATGCGAAAACACCACTGTCTGGAGGGAGGTAGGGATGCCGGGGAGCCTCCGGGCTCCACGCAGAAAAAGGCATTTCATTGCAGTCAAAGCTGGTTTTCTTGGGATTGGAGGGGGGGGGGGAATCCCATTGGCTCCCCAGAGCTACCTCAACAAAGGTAAGGGAAAAAGAGGGAAGGACCCAGGAGGAAGATGCCACACGATCTAAACTCAAACTAAACTTCGTCCCAAAACAAACCCCTATTCTGGTGAAAATTGCTACTAAAAGTCGAACAAGTGGATACAACTTCCCAAAAAGAAACGAGCAAATGAGCATGACATCACACGTCGCTGCTCTGCTGTCTGCACAGCTTCCCCCCTCCACGGGATGGGGAAGGGGAAGCCCCAGACCCTGGCCCCGGCCATCCACCCTTTAGTTCTAAGACTGATGCTAGAGGCGGAGGTTGTGTGCTCTGGCTCCAGTGATTTTTCAGCACTGTGCTTTGAGTGTGGTGGCTGTCTTCTAGGGGCTGCGAAAGCCAGGAGTTATTCTACAGTACTTGGGCTGCATGCACCTAGGGTTACCTTTCCTAGGTGCCCTGTAAGTACTGCCCTTGGGGTTCCCTTCCACAAGTTCCTTGGGTCCTGCCTCTGCTGGGCTGTTTAATTGCTCATTTTTTCAGTCGCCCTTTGGGTGCTTGGGTGTTTTGTCTCCCTTGTTTACCTTAGGGTAAAAGGCAGTTTGCACTGGTAAGGGGCACAGGGTGTTGCGCAGCTTGTTTTCACCATTCATAGCTGCTGGCTCTGTTCCTTTGGGTACGTTGTCCTCTTGCGGGGTTTTGTTTTTCTTTTTGTTTGTGCCTTGTGGGAATTCCTTGCCCCTTGGTATTTGACCTAATACGGTTTTCTTCTGGTGGTGCCCCTTTCTAGGTCCCCGTGAGTGTACACGTCCTAGAGGTTCAGCTTTAGAACATTACTTGGTAGTTTTGGGCGCCAGTTAGCAGTACCCTGCCTGGGATTTCCTGAGCATGAGTTCCATCTTAGGATCCTGGGAAACCCCACAGGGGTGCGTGGGTCCAATGGATGTGACCCTGGAGTTCTCCCTCACTTCGTGCGTGTTTGAGGGTTGCTCGGTCCCCTTGTCTCAGGGTGACTCACTGTTTTTGCCTCTGTCACCCTGCCTGTTGGGTCGGTGACACTTTCGACTCGGAGTCCTGCGAGTCCTGCTGCTTGCTGGTGACTCGGTTTACCCAGTCTAATGATCTTCTATGGGTACAGGCAGCGTAGGTGTTGCATGTACACTTCAGGTTGTTGCAATGCTCTCAGTTGGTTGCCACCCGGATGCCCCGAGGCTGCCCCATTTTGCTTATAAGTACCCGGACTTGGGGGTGGGGGGGTGGGGGGGGTAGCTTTGACCTTGGTTCAGTCTGCATCCTCTTGTTCTTCCCCTGTTGTGGTTCATTCTGGTCCCCTACCCCCCTGCTTCCGGCCCTGAAGCATCTGAGGGTTTCGGAGTCGGGGCAGGATTTAGATGGTCTTGTGACTGGCAGTCTCGGGGTATGCCCCCTTCCGGTGTGGCGACGGAGGCCTTCGAGTCCGAACTCGCCTGCCGCAGCCAGGTCAGACCAGTGGGCCCCTTTCCATCTGACTAGCTTTTTTGACTTTTTGACTCTTTTTTTGACTAGCTTTTCTTTAGAGGCTTGGGCTTTGGGGGATGACTCGGCCCCGGGTCCTGTGAAGGAGGATTCTGGGGCAGGGGAAGGGCTGACTTGGGGGTCTTGAGCCCCACTGGACCCCGCCTGTTTTTTTTTTTTGTCCTCTGAGCGGGGCTTATTGTCGAAACGCTTTGCGTAATAGCGGCTTTAGGCATTGTATGTACTAGCCCTAACTATAAATCCATCACTCTGTAAAATCTCTTATGTATGTACCTTACCTAAATAAACATTGATTTTTTTTTTTATATTGTTACATGGAGTGAGGTTTTCTTTTTCCCTCTCTGCATACGAGTTGGATTTGGTGTCTGCCAGTCCCTGGGTTTGGGTGTGTCCTGCCAGGGGTGTCGGTTCTGTCTTTCCGAAGGTTTTCAGCTTGTGCATCCTACCGTCTGCGGTGCGGGCAGCCCTAATGGCTTGCCTACTGCGCGACCCGGATTATGCCTTGCTTATGGATCTGTCTTCTTTCAGGTTTGGGCCTTCGTTCCCTTTCTGGGTTCGTTACGAGGTTCCGGAGTCGTCCTGGCTGGCGGACTGTTCTGTGTTTTCTTTGGAAGCCTGGCATTCCTTCTGTCATTCCCGCATGCTTGACTGGCGCGAGGCTTTGATGGTGGTTCAGGTTTTCCTGGGGGAAGCGACTTTCAGCACCTCAACGAATGCTTGTTTGCCCCGGTCCTTTCCCGGGATGTTGGCGTAGTGCAGTTTCATGTGCAGGTTTCCTCCCTTTCGGCTGCGCAGGTTGCTGAGGACCTGCGCGCCTGTGGCCTCTTGGCTTTGGCCTTGCATTTCTTTTCTCTCTTTTCTCTCTCTTTCTCATCCTCCACAAGCCAGTCTTCGGACTGGCTTGTGGAGGATGTGGGGACGCTTGGGGCTGGTCCTGGGTCCGGTGCCTTAGGCTTGGTGGCTGCCTTGAAGCTCTTTGGGCCGATCTTGCGGGATGCAGTTTCACCTTTTTATGCTTCCTGACTCGCTTGTCGGCAGGCAGTGCTTGCCTCCTCTCTGGAATCAGCTTGGGCTCTGGCTCTTAGGATGTCTTCGCCGTTTTGTCCTTTTTGCAGATTCTGCCATGGAGCAGTATATACAGGCTGCTTTGGCTTTTTGTCGCCCTATGTCTGACTTGTTGGTTCTCCTAGGGTCCAGGAAGGGGGGCCCTTCCCGGAGGGGTCGTGCCAGGGCTCGGGGTTTCTCTCGTTTTGGTAGGCCACGGGCGCCACTTTTGGGTCCGGCGCCGCTTTCAGACCTGGCTTCGTCTGGTTGGCGCGGTGTTCGCTCTGTGCGAGGTTCTGGATCTCTTAAGGGCACTGGTCCTTTCGCAGTTCGCTCCATTGAAGAAGCAATGGGGGGGGGGGTGTTTGCTCATGCCTGGTCTCATGATTTGTGGGCGTTTCGGATAATTTCCTTCAGCCTGTGGTGGCATTGGGTGGCCCCTTCTCCTTCAGGGGGTTCGTGGCTGGTGGGGCAGGCGTCTTTCCAGGCGCTGTCAGATCATCTTTGAGTGGGTTCGCTTGGGCGTGATCAAAACGACAACGTCCCTCAGATGGGTTTCCCATCTGTTCCCAGTTCCGAAACGGGACTGCACGGACCTGCGGTTCATTCTGGACTTGTCCCGTCTGAACCCCTGGGTTCATTGCCCCTACTTTCAGATGATTACGCTATCCCAGGATCGGTTCCTTTTGGGGTTCAGTGCCTTGGTGCCTGCCCGAGCCTTCGCACGATGTGTTCACGGATGTGTCATCTCTCGGCTGGGGCTTTGTGACCAGTGCTCACCAGGTCATTGGACAGAGTGATTTCTTTTCTCTCTCTTCTCACAGGTGCGGGTCTCCCAGGTTGTCCACAGAATTATTAAGACTAGCCATTCCCCCTCCTGTGGAGGGGGAGCTGCACATACAGTAGCGCGGCGACGTGTGATGTCATTCTCATTTGTTCATTTCTTTTTGGGAAGTTCTATCCATTTGTTCGGCTTTTAGTAGCAGTTTTCACCAGAATAGGGGGTTTGTTTTGGGACGCTTACCTTTCTTGGTGTCTGACCCGGTTGATGGCAGACATAGAATTCTTCCAACCACATGGGGGTTTCTATAGGCCATTGCTCTCCATGCCTCTCTAAGGGGGCCAGGTTCTGGCTCTTGGTCCCTGGTAGGCCTACAGAACTCCACACACATGACTGATGCCAAAGTTTGACATTAGCATATCAGCCTGGATAAGCTCCGGGGAGCCTCTGGGTCTCACCTAGAAAATGGCTTTTCATTACATTCAACGCTGGTTTTTTTATTTTATTTTCAAGGCTGCAGATCTTGAAGGTGGCCAACTGTGGTTTGTTTTGACTAGCTGACTTTCTGGGTGCCTTCCTTAGTGGTCGCATAACGTACTATATAATGATCTGCCATCCCCTCTGAGGGGGGGGGGGGGGGGGGAGGGGAGCAGATTCTGGCTCTTGGTCCCCTGTAGGCCATAGTAATCACCTACATCGGAGACAGTAACTTCAGGGACCTTCAATGGGCTCCCTCTAGAAAAAGTTATGGTATGCATAATTTAACTTTACTAGCTTAAACAAGAACTCACAATTCATCAGGACAGTTGTGGGGCTGGGCTAAGCGGTAGCCATCCCTTAAGTATGCAGCCATTTCAAAAGGGTCAACTTCAATGTAAGGTTGCTGAGCCAATGTTGTCAACTCCCACAACAGAACACCAAACATCCACTGGCAACAAATATTGAATAATTATTACACTAATAATATAATATAATATATATAGTAACATAGTAATATGCATATTGTTAACACTTTCGCGCTTTCCGCAAAGGTCACTCAGCCAACCGAATGTGCGCGCAGCGTTTTTATCGCTTAAGCGTAAAAACAAAAATGTGTATACTCTTTTTACTCTTCTGACCTTAGTTCTCATGCTACGTATTTCATTTTGGTACCAACGTGTTCGCAATAAAATTCTCTAGAAGAACATCAGTAAAAAAAGTCACGAAACGTATAGGGATACCAGCACCAAATAAATAACTACGAAGATGACTCGCCGTGAGCGCCCATCAGCAACAAAATGTTTTTACTCTTGGGATTGTAATCACCTCCACACTTATTCTACAGCATTAATTTTGGTATCAATGGACTCGCAATGAAATTCCCAACATGGTGATATGAATATAAGCGTAGAATAATGATGCGGCCCGCCCGCAAGAGTGTGGGAAGTGGTGAAATTGTTACCCGGTATCGGTGACGGGACGACGCACGGCGCTTTGAAAGTTTATACTTATTTCACTCTCATGACATTAATTTTCTATGTACGTCATTCATTTTTGTGTCAATGTGTTCGCAATAGAATGTTCTATGTGCCCATAGGTAAAAAATATCAACAAAGCGTAAGTTAGAATAGCGCCAAATATAAAACAACGCTGGAACATATCAGTGAGCGTCAAACACACACGAAATGTTTTTACTTTTGTTATGTTTGTCAAGTTTATACTTGTTGCACACAGTTATTTTTGGTTGTATATTGATCGGAATAAAATTCCCTAAACAGACATATGCATATAATACATGATATGGGGGAAGCATTACCAGTATAAACGGCTAAAGTCACCCACCTGCAACCCGTTTGGGACAAAATACCATTTGATCGAAGTTATCCACACTTTTCATGAACTTATTGTACCATGCAGCCTAGTGGTGAGAAAGAGAGCCTCATAGCGCGCAGTTTGAAACAAACCCAAAGTAAATCGGATAAAAATTGAATTTTATACAAATATTTTAAAAGAGGACTCAACTTTATGTCCACTATGCGTTAGCGTTAGACGAAACGGGACGCGCCGGCGCGTCCAGATAGCGCGAAAGTGTTAAATTAATATAGTAACAACTACCAACAGTAGCTATACAGTACACCCATGGTAATATACGATATATGCAAATAACCAAACTGATGAAGATGAAGAATAAAACCGAGTGGATTTATTTTGCACGATTATATATTTTACAGCTGTAATCATCTAAACAGAGGTTTTAGCCTTATCAACTCACCACATCATTGGCAGGAGTGAACTGTTTATGAATAAGTGCCTCAAGGCTAAGCCACTTAACTGGCCGGTTTTCATTGTCACCCAAACAGTGGTAATCCTGTGGGAACAAATCACGAGCGAGTGCTGTGTCTGACACCCGGACTTGAAGTTCGGAGTCTATCCTGAAAAATAAAACAACCATAACAATTGTGACAGTATGTTTAAAATAAATAATTAACTAGGAGGTCCCCGTTATATGAACATACATCCCTCCAAACTTCGTTCTAAGTCCACATTTGTGTGTCTCAATCCACTTTATATATGTATGTATGTATGTATGTGTATATAGGTTAGATATATATAGGTTAGATAGATAGGTTAGGTTAAGTTAGGTAGGGTTGATTAGGTTTGGTCATATGTCTACGTTAGTTTTTAACTCAAATTAAATAAAATGAACTCTTACATAATGAAATGAATAGGTTTATCATTTCATAAGAAAAAAATAAGAAAAATATATAAATAAAGGAAAATTTGGCTTATTAAGCAAAGCCTTGCATAGTAGGCCGAGTATGACGTTCTGGCTACTAGGTACAACATGCATATCTATACATATATATACATATATATATATATACATATATATATATATATATATATATATATATATATATATATATATATATATATATATATATATATATATATATATATGTCGTACCTAATAGCCAGAACGCACTTCTCAGCCTACTATTCAAGGCCCGATTTGCCTAATAAGCCAAGTTTTCATGAATTAATGTTTTTTCGTCTACCTAACCTACCTAACCTAACCTAACCTAGCTTTTTTTGGCTACCTAACCTAACCTTACCGATAAATATAGGTTAGGTTAGGTTAGGTAGGGTAGGTTAGGTTCGGTCATATATCTACGTTAATTTTAACTCCAATAAAAAAAAATTGACCTCATACATAGAGAAAAGGGTTGCTTTATCATTTCATAAGAAAAAAAATATAGTAAATATATTAATTCAGGAAAACTTGGCTTATTAGGCAAATCGGGCCTTGAATAGTAGGCTGAGAAGTGAGTTCTGGCTACTAGGTACGACATATATATATATATATATATATATATATATATATATATATATATATATATATATATATATATATATATATATATATATATATATATATATATATATATATATATATATATATATATATATATATATATATATATATATATATATATATATATATCTATATATATACATACATATACACACTCCTCGTGCCTCTCTGAGAGGGCAGGTTCTGGTTTGTGGTCGCCGGTAGGCCTACAACTCACCCAAACCTCCAGGGTCTCACCCAGAAAATGGCATTTCATTACATTCAATGCTGGTTTTTTATTTAAGAAAAAACTTTGTGAAGCCAAGCAATGGAGATGAACAGAAACAGTACAATATTGCACAGTACAGTACCATGAAATTTTTGAGCAAGATTAATATGTGACTACTTCTTATAAACATAATTTAATTTACTTACAAACAATTTCTGGTAGCAACATCTTTATGAAGAAGTCGTTGTTGATGAAGGTGAATGAGACCTAGACACACTTGTATAGCAATGTGAACCACGTCCCTTGTAAGGAGTTTGACGCCCTCACTAGAGCCTCGACTACACCCAAGCAAATATCTGACAAGAAAAAATATGAATAATATATAATGTATAGTTACCGTTTTTATGATCCTATCCCTTCACCACAATTTGTATTTGTTACTAGTGATTCAAGGTAAAATTGCAATGGTCCAATGGATAGTATGAACATCTATAGAACTTTAATAAAATTACCTTTTACTGTATTTTATTCTGTGTTGAGCCAAATTGTCATTAGGCTGTCATTAAAAGGGTATGGAATACATGGGTTAAGCCATATTTAAATATAAAATCTTGTCCTTACTGTTAGATCTTATATTTATTATTTTAAATATTGAACTTACGTTTTGAGGTTGGAGAGTCCCAAATGAGGGTAAAGGAGAAGTGGATGTCGTGGGTCTGAAAGACATACACCCAGCACAGGCAAAAGATGTTGATGATGTAAACCTGCCAGTAGCAGTCCCTCTCTCACTACCAGCCGTGCTTGTGATGAGGAGGCCTCACCTGTTAAAAGCAAGTGGAACATGTAGACATAAGCATTGTGGTTTGGTTGCTCTGGAAACAAGTCTATTTCCTGTTGACCAAACCACACACTAGAAAGTGAAGGGAAGACGACGTTTTAGTCCATCCTGGACCATTCTCAAGTTGATTGTGACTTGCACAAGTGACGTAAGAATGGTCCGGGACGGACCAAAATGTTGTCGTCCCTTCACTTTCTAGTATATGGTTTGGTCAACATATTTCAGCCACGTTGTTGCGACTCCTCGTCTGCAAGTCTGGTTTCCTCATTCATATACAAAATCCATATGACTTTGCTTGGGTTTACTGGTATACACACCCAAATTTACTGCCATTATTCCTGAAGTTTTCCTAGCTGAATTTTCAAATTCAATATTGTCTTGGCATTTACAGCTTTGATGGGCAAGTAATTCCATGGATTTATTACCTCATGGGTTAATTACTGCACTGTGCTGAGTGCCTCAAGGCACCCAATCTGGGATGTGCAGAGCACCATATTTCTCTTTTAGGTAGAGGGAACAATTCAAATCTCCCACAGGTACACAGGGCTTACATCCTGTGCCTAAGGACTCTAGTAAACATGCCATTTTGAAAAACTCATCAGTATCTGTACTGGCTGTGAGGTCTCAGTACCGAGAGAATGACCAAGGTTTGCACATGCAGCAGAAGCTCACAGCACCACTGTGCAGCTACAACCCATAAACCCCTTAATAAATGATGAATAAAATAGGTAACTAATTATTTTGCCTTGATAGTGTCACATATGATCCTAAGTGTGATAAATATATTTATTTATTTATTTATTTATATATGTACAAGAAGATACATTGGGATTGTGATGATACATAGCATAGTAATTACATTCTTGTAAAGCCACTAGTACGCACAGCGTTACATAAAGACTATGTACAACATTCAGATATCAGTGAATTTAATGAGAAATCACATTATTGTGATATATCAATGAGAAAATCACAGGAGCCATGATGAGGCTTTGAACCTATGTGCTGGGGTGTTCCCAGATGCACTCTCTTGTCAACTATGCCACGACATGGTCAATTTCCCCATGCACTCTTGCTCTGTCATCCAGTAATTCTACCTCTGACACCCCACTTTCAATACACAATTTTTTTGTACAGTCACTGATGGTCGAGTGGTTAAGGTCTCCTGTACACCAGTTGCATAGTGTTCCTGGCAGTATGGGTTCGAGTCACTTCTGGGGTGTGGAGTTTTCTAGGTCATAGATTTAAACTTACGAAATAAAGCTGCCGGAGGAATATAAGAAAATTCACTTTTGCAAACAGAGTGGTAGACGGTTGGAACAAGTTAGGTGAGAAGGTGGTGGAGGCTAAAACCATCAGTAGTTTCAAAGCGTTATATGACAAAGAGTGCTGGGTAGACGGGACACCACGAGCATACCTCTCATCCTGTAACTACACTTAGGTAATTACACAGAAAAATCACATTATCATAATATTGTATATCAACGAGAAAATCTGACAATGAGAAGTCGAAACGTCATCGTCTTCTCATCTTCTGGCATGTAGTTTAGTCTTCATATCTTCAGCCACGTTATTGTGACTTCTTGTCTGCAATATGAAAGTGGTTAGGTGGCGATATTTTATACCCGAGTCACCCATTTATTAGATTCAGCCAGTTTCAAGCCTGAAATGATATATTGAAGACTTCTGTGAATATACCCAACATTTATTTATTTACAAATACAATTTACAGTATTATTTAAATTTTTGTATATGCAGGGGTGCAGTGCCAACTGTATAGGTACTGGAGCTCTAGTGAGCTTGTCATTTTCTATCCTGTTTCTGTATATGTCACACAATTAAGTATTTCGTGTTTGTACTTGCTATCATAAAATGTAATTATCAAGCAAATAAAGAAAAAACATCAATCATGTATTTAAGACGTTAAAACACTTAGTGTTCACAAAATACAACCAGAGAAGTTTCACAATAGTTTCCACAAAGGGTCAGGTGTGAGATTTTTTGGGGGTCTGAAGTAACTTGTCCTGTTGTCATCTGCCAAAAATACTTTAAAATGATTAATTCCATGAACTTCTCTCACTGAATCATCTACTTCAAGTTCTAATCTGTGATTAAGACAGTGCCAGATTAAAATACCAGGGTAATGTTCCTCTAAGAATTGTTTCAATGCCAGATTTGACACCAAGCATGACACTTGCCCCATCACTACAAGGATCTGTTTCAAATATAAGTCATCAAACCATGATAATTGAGACAGCTCAATAGAAGTCTAGCAATAGTTGCTGCTTTCTGATAAGGTAGTTCGATTAGATCTAAGAACATGAAATGGGGATTACCTTCCTTATCACTTTCACATTTCAAGTAAACTATTAAGGTTGTTTTAATGCTCAGGCTTGTTGATTCATCAATGAGAACAGAAATTTTGCCATTTATCTTCTTGATATGCTGGCAAATTTTCTTTTTCATATTAATGCTATGTGATTAATTATCTCTAACACTAGTGCAGAAATACAGTCCCATTCCAATGTAAACACCATTTTGCTTTTATAGTTCCAGTAAGCCAAAGTGATCAGAGTATTTTCTGTCATTCTGAGCTAAATAATATACAGAACACAAAATTGAATAAGCTGTCTTCAGATGCAAAGCATTCACGACATCACACAATTTTCTAAGAGCATCTTCACTAGCTACATTTTAACACGTAAAACAGCAGTGAGAGCTTTCGATAGTTTATGATCAACAATTATTTTTCTGAGAGACTTAAAACATGTACAGTACTTCGATCTGCTTCATAATAGGATACGTGGTAAATCTGCCACTTAGTTGATAGTTGTAAACCCTTAGAAGTGAAAAGTGTTACATTGCTTATGTTTGCACATGCAGTACTTTACACCCAAGTTTATCATCCCTGAAGTCTAATCATGGATAGATTTCTTTTTTTTTTCCTTCCACATTTCTTCAGTATAAACACCTGAACAAAGGTGTCACCGACCCAACAGGCAGCATGACATAGGCAAAAACAATGAGTGTCGCCCCTAAGACAAGGGGACAAAGCAACCCTCAAACTCGCTCAAGGCGAGAGACGACCCAGGGGTTGCATCCATTGGACCCCATGCACCCCCGTGGTGTTTCTCAGGAGCCCCTAGACTGGTATCGCTAAGGGTAAGCCCAGGCAGGGTACTGTTAATCGGCGCCCAAGTCCACCAACAAACTTCTAAAACTGAACCTCCAGGATATTTCCACTCACGGGGGCCAAGCAGAGGGTACTACCAAACACTGAAGGTCAAGACCCTAATATAAATGGGGGTAAAGGACACAAGGCAGATCCCCCCCCCCCAGGCATAAACAAAAAGAAAAGAAAAACCCCCACAAGAGGGCAACATACCCAGGAGGAACAGAGCCGGCCACTGTAATAGGTGAAAACTAGCTGCGCAGTACCCTGCGCTCCACCAGTGCAAAAACTACAACTTACCCCAAGGTAAACAAGGGAGGGAAACCCCCCCCCCAACACACTGGGGCGGTCATTCACCGAACAGTAAAAAACTAAGAGAGATAGACCCCAAGGTGACTTGTGGAAGATAACCCCAAAGCCCTAAGGGCGGTACTTACTGGGCACTCGGGGAAGGGAACCCTAAGCACATGCAGCCCGAGTACCTGTGAATATTACTCCCAGCTCGCATGCCACCGTAAAGCAGTACTGAACCCAAGGTACAGCACAACACAGAATTGGCCATTGCTTCATTCGTGCCTCTCTGAGGGGGCCAGGTTCTGGCTCGTGGTCCCTGGTAGGCCTGGAACGCCATACACACTGTCTGATGCCAAAGTCTAATGATATATATATATCAGCCTGGATAGCTCCGGGGAGCTGAAGCGGCTCCCCCTCAGAAAATTAAGAAATATCATAACATTATAAACTTATTAATGATGTAATACTAATATTTTCCTGCCACAATCAACCATCACCCATAAACCATTATCTCTCTCTTCCCATATCCTCTCTCCCTTTCCTCCATACCATCATCCACTTGCAGAGGTGCCGGAGCAGTGCTCCAGTGAGCTCCGGCAGCACTGCACCACTGGGAACACTGTACATTCTCACAAAGTCACTAATATGCAAAGCATTTTGGGTGTCTTAAAGCTAACAGAGCAGTTAAAACATAAATCAGTCAATTTGCAGTAAACCTGAAATATACATAATTACAGTTTTAAATTACATATTTTGCAAACTATATTAAAGTAACTAAAATTACAATTATTTATAATTAGTGATTAAAAATTCATTAAGAATCCCTAGTAATTTGTAAGTTAACAAAAAAGTAAACTTTAAATGAAGGAATTAAAACTAGTGTATAACATACCAGAAAAAAGTATTTATGACATTATAAGGGGAGATGTTATGTTACAGTTACATTATTTATTATCTGGGAATACAAAATATATAAAAATGCACTTTAAATATAAGATGGAATACCAAGTGAACAACACAAATATTTTGGCCATAGGGATCTAAGCAAACCAGCTAGGTACATGCATTACATTTAACATATGAAATGGGACACATGACAGGGAGGCTTCTGACTGGGATGAAAAATTTTCTGACAGAAAAGTTAGGAAGTAATCAGAGGAAATGTATAAGACTGGATAAATGTCACAAGTGGAGTACTACAGGGTTTAGTTTTTGCACCAGTAATGTTCATTGTCTACATTAATGATCTACCAGAGGAATACAGAATTATATGAACATGTTTGCTGATGGTGCTAAGATACTAAGGGAAGATAAACGTAGACGATTGTCAAACCCTTCAAGAGGATCTGAACGGAATAAGTGAAATGAGAAATATTGTACTTGACAAATGGAATTTAATGTAAATAAATGCCATGTTATGGAAAGTGGAATAGAAGAAAATTGGTCACACACAACCTACAAGTCATGTGAAAAACTTTGAAAACTTATGATAAAGAAAGATCTATGGGTGGTCTAGA